AGGAAAGAGGCCGTTCCTGTCCTCAGCTCATTAACTCACACAAGAGCTGTCAGAGCCTTTATCTAAACCCAGAGATGGGGGGGGGGCAGCATCTCCCCCAATAGCAGTGTACACCCCAGGGCTGATTTTCAGAGACAGCACCGGACACTACACAGCCCTCGGCTCCCCTCTGGAAGTTAATGAGCCGAGTCCTGTAAGTCATAGAACGGCCCCTTCCTGTGAATGGAATTAAACACCCCCCAAGTCTTTATAGGTCAATTGTTGTGACTGGTGATTAGAACATCACTACAGCCCCGGGGTGTGGGGGGTGTGGGGGGCACCGGCAGCAATGAGGTACCGTGTGAAATTTGGCTGCGTGTCCCTTTCTTCATCCTCCGAGGTCCCGGAGCGGATCCGCAGCGTTGCCTGGACTGGGAGCCGAGGGGCGCAGCCAGACATGCAATGAGCGGCGGTGGTCCTCATTTGTCGGGGGTCCCGGCCCTCCTGTTGCCATGTAGAAGGGGATCCCGTTCTCCCGGCTCACCGACATCCGGCCGCTTTGCACCGAAGACGAAGAACTGGAAGATAATCTGCAGCGGGGTCAGGAAAAACAACTTCCGGGGAAGCAAAACTCCATTGATAATGGCGGATTAGGACAGAGAGCAGAATTCAGAGAGCAGTCAGGACGTCCCCCTTGCTCGTGCACAGCATGACAAAAGGATACAACACAGTCCAGGCTCATGACCCCCAGACTGCCGATCAGCCAAGGCAAGTGGTGCTCGATGTAATTGGCTTCTGATTGGTCCTTGTCGGGGTTCTTCAGGAGGATGCTGAGGCCGTAGGTCAGGTTCCCCACAATGACCATACAGAAGAGGGACAGGGCCAGACCCTCCGTGGACCGCCTCCGAAACTGCCAAGAGAAGAGGAGGCCGATCAGCGTCCGATCCCATCATGCATCATACATTGGTCCTCTACTCCCAACCAATCCCCATCATTGTTCATTATGTCACACACACATGAGATCCGACTCCGGGACGTATACCGGAGGATTCCAATACAATTCACATTTATTAAAGCAATACCAATTTCATATCCGGGGACCCCGAGCAGACGAGCCGCAGACTATTACACCAAAAAAAAACCCGATGACCTTAGCAGACCAGAAGGTCGTACACAGAATACACAGATCTACAAAGTGTCATAAGACATGAAATGTATCCGATGAGAGAAGATTCCCAATGTATCTAATGAACATTCTGACAGCTTAATCAGATCACATTCCACTAGATGAGCAAAAGTCTGTGAACCCCCCCCTCCAACCATCGGACCTGTATGAGCTTCTTGGACATCCTATTATAAAACCATGGCCATCAATATGGAGTTGGTCCCCCTTTCCCTCCATGGCCATCAATATGGAGTTGGACCCTCCATAGGCATCAATATGGAGTTGGTCCCCCTTTCCCTCCATAGCCATCAATATGGAGTTGGTCCCCCTTCCCTCCATGGCCATCAATATGGAGTTGGTCCCCCTTTCCCTCCATGGCCATCAATATGGAGTTGGACCACCTTCCCTCCATGGCCATCAATATGGTGTTGGTCCCCCTTTCCCTCCATGGCCATCAATATGCAGTTGGTCCCCCTTTCCCTCCATGGCCATCAATATGGAGTTGGTCTCCCTTTCCCTCCATGGCCATCAATATGGAGTTGGTCTCCCTTTCCCTCCATGGCCATCAATATGGAGTTGGACCCTCCGTGGCCATCAATATGGAGTTGGTCCCCCTTCCCTCCATGGCCATCAATATGGATTTGGTCCCCCTTTCCCTCCATGGCCATCAATATGCAGTTGGTCCCCCTTTCCCTCCATGGCCATCAATATGGAGTTGGTCCCCCTTCCCTCCATGGCCATCAATATGGAGTTGGTCTCCCTTTCCCTCCATGGCCATCAATATGGAGTTGGACCCTCCGTGGCCATCAATATGGAGTTGGTCCCCCTTTCCCACCATGGCCATCAATATGGAGTTGGACCACCTTCCCTCCATGGCCATCAATATGGTGTTGGTCCCCCTTTCCCTCCATGGCCATCAATATGGAGTTGGTCCCCCTT